GTAAGTCCGTTTCTAAAGGTTTAGATCTAGCATGAGATTGTGATCAAATGCTTGTCCCCATAAAACTGTTAAAAGTATTCTTAAAAGCGTGTAGTAGGCTGGGCGAGGTGGCACAAGCCTATAATTCCAGCACGTTGGGAGGCAGAGGCAAGAGGATTGACTAGCTCAGGCGTTTGAGACCAGTCTGGGCGACTTGGCAAGACCTCATCTCTACAATAAATCAAAAAATTAGCCAGACATGATAGTGTGCACCTGTAGTTCCAGCTACTTGTAAGGCTGAGGCAGAAGGATCACCTGAGCCCAGCAGGTCAAGGCTGTGGTGGCCGTGAGTGTGCCACTGCACTCCAGCCTAGGCAACAGAGTGAGATTCCAACTCAAAGAAAAAAAAAGCATGTAGTGTATTTCAATAATCTATTTTAAAATTTAATGCTAGATAATACCACTGCCTGTATTGTAAGGTTTTCTTTATGGTTTTATAGCAGCACTCTACAAACAAAATTTTATTGTCATATTTTACATACTCAGATTACGAAAAAAAAAAGACACAGGTAATGACCCTCTGTTATCTTAGGTGCTATCTTCTAGCACTCAGTGGGGCTCCATGGGCAGAGGAGAGGAGGAGGGGAATCAGCCATAGGGGACTCCTGCTGATTTGGCCCGGGCTCAACCTCAGATGTCCCTTATTAATTCTACCCAGGTTGACACCCCTCAACCTTGTAAGCCTGTTTATCCTACACCTCCAAAGGAACCCGGTCCTATGGAAACCACACGCAGTGAAACTGTGTTCCATTCTCCTCCTAAAGCAATATATCTGTTACAAGATTACAAATAGAAAGACAAAAATTATACAGGTTCACATCCCTTTTTCTGTGACAAATCAGTCACAATGCCAGCTAAGATTAGAAAGTTTCCTAGAAAATCTCTATCAATTTTTAGAGACATTTCAAATGCTAACCCTCACCTTACACCAAACTTGGGGTAATATATTCTCTCTGTCTGCTGCACCCCAGAGGAAAAAGAGTGCATTTTTAAGGCAACACAGGCTCACGCTGACATAAAGTTTAAACAACAACCAGATAGGTACACAGTTGGAACAGTAGCTGTTCCTAGCACCTATCTCCAATGGAATTGCCAGTGGGGGGGGGGGGCAGTATGATAAAAAATGATCATATGCTTGTATATATCAAGAAAGATATTTTTAAAAGTATAGTCAAAACTATTAATTAGACCAAGGTAAAAAAAAAAAAATTACAGAATTCAGATAAAAAATTCTGTTCTTTTCCAAAAAAGGTTAAAGCTATTAAAAAATATACCAATGTAGACTTTAATAAGCTAAAAGGGCAAATCCTTCTAGAAACTTTTTCATCATCCAGTCAATTCCAGATATCCAGAAAAAGCTTCAAAAACTAAAGTTAAAAACACAAACACCAGCTGGGCTTGGTGGCTCAGTTTGTAATCCCAGCACTTTGGGAGGTGAGTGGATTGCCTCAGCACACGGGTTTGAGACCCGCCTGGGCAACTTGGCAAGACCTCATCTCTACAATAAATCAAAAATTATCTGGGCGTGGTAGCGCGCGCCTGTAATTCCAGCTACCTGGAAGGCTGAGGCGGAAGGATCGCCAGAGCCCAGCAGGTTGAGGCTGCGGTGGCCGGGAGCGTGCCACTGCACTCCAGTCTGGGTGACAGAGTGAGACTCCAACTCAAAACAAACAAACAAATAAACAAACACAAACACCAAGTCTCCAATTAATAGAGGAGGTGTTTAGGGTTTTCAACAACTGGGACATTAAAAAAAAAAAAAGACTCTAGAATGAACACTAGCATGACAAAAACAAACTATTGGCAGTTGTCATTAGCGGCAAAACTTCAGTCACCCAACAGAGACCCGGTAAAGATAAACTTGCTAAGGGGGACAGTATCTGCTGCTATAGATGCAAATCTGGCCACTTAAAATGCAGTTGGTCTCAATGTCCTGACCAAAACCTTGTCCAATATGCTGGCAAGAAGGCCACTAGAAGAGCCAGTATAACCTTTTTAAGAGGGGAAGGGCAACACCTAGCTCGATAATAGTAACCACTAACTGATGGGGCCCAGCACCGTGGCCCCACCTAGCACTCTGTTTGCCATCACCCCAGAGGATCCCTGGGTCTATACTGTCATGGCTGGGGTCCAAATTAATTTCTTGATCAATATTGGGCCTAAGTTTTCAACCCTAACTGCTCATGCTGGATCTCTTTCTCCTAAAATCTGCTCCCTAGCAGAAGTGAGGGCTGTTCCAAGAGTTAGACATTTCACCTATTCTCTAGTCAAAAGTTACTTAAAAAAAAAAAAAATTCACTGGGCTCGGCGGCTAGCCTGTAATCCTGCGCCTTTGGGAGGTTGAGGTGAGTGGATTGCCTGAGCCCACGGGTTCGAGACCCACCTGGGCAACTTGGTGACACCTCATCTCTACAATAAACCAAAAATTAGCCGGGCGTAGTAGTGCACGCCTGGAGTTCCAGCTACTTGGAAGGCTGAGGCGGAAAGATCACCGGAGCCCAGCAGGTCATAGCTGTGGTGGCCAGGAGCGGCCACTGCACTCCAGTCTGGGCGACAGAGTGAGACTGCAACTCAAAAAAAATAATAATTCAAATTATAATTATAAAAAGTTATCTATAAAAAATTAAAAACAAAAAGCACAAAATTAAAAAAGTTATTGATATAATGTTTTTAATAAAAAGGACTAAAAATAATTTTATATTAAAAAGATCTTGTATAATAAATTTTTGTCCTACAATAAAATAACTGGTTGTTTATATATACATATAAAATACAGAAATAAAGGACTAAACCTTACATATATGTCAAAAAGCCAATATATGTAAGGTTTATAGAAAAATATATTTAAAAATTATATAAACAATTAAATTTGCAAAAAAAATTTTAGTTATTTCAATAAATTAACCACTAATACACTGATGTTAGGTCAAAATGCCATTGTCACTAAAATCTTTTTCAGACTTTACCTACCCAGGCCATCATTATAATCAACTATAAGACTCTGACAAGTGTCATTCAGTGCAAATTGGTAACAACTTTAAAATCTTATCACTAGCCGGACTTGGTGGCTCAGCCTGTAATCCCGTGCCTTTGGGAGGCTGAGGTGAGTAGACTGCCTGAGCCCCGGGGTTCGAGACCCGCCTGGGCAGCTTGGTGAGACCTCATCTCTACAATAAATAAAAAATTAGCTGGGCGTGGTAGCGCGCGCCTGTAGTTCCAGCTACTTGGAAGGCTGAGGTAGAAGGATTGCCGGAGCCCAGTAGGTCGAGGCTGCGGTGGCAGAGAGCGGCCACTGCACTCCAGTCTGGGCGACAGAGTGAGACTCTAACTCAAAAAAAAAAAAAAAAAAAAAAAAAAATCTTACCACTTTTAAAGAACTTCTTGCTGGGCATGGTGGTTCACACCTGTAATCCCAGCACTTTGGGAGGCCAAGGCAGGAGGATTGCTTGATCCCAGGAGTTTGAGACCAGTCTAGGCAACATAGCAAGACTTTGTCTCAACAACAACAACAAAAAAATCAGAGAATTAGCCAGGTGTTGTAGTACATGCCTGTAGTCCTTGCTACTTGGGAGGTTGAAGAGGAAGTGATACGGAGACCTGCTATTGTCTGTCCATATTGCCACAACCCCTAGAGGACACAGCAGGTGTTGTGCAAGTGGGCTTGCACTTACCCACATTCCTGAGAGTTAACAAAAGGATTGCTTCCTCTTCTCTCCTATGCACTCCGAGTAAATAACTTCAAAGAATCCTTAACTTCCTTGATGACTGTGCCCAATTAACAGAGGTATAAATCCCCATTTACTCCCCCCACTTTTTTTAGTAGTCATAGGCTTGAATAATATAGTATCAAGGCAATCGTAAGTCTTGTGATTTGTATAACTTTTGCGTTTAGCAACATGTAGTAATATATGTCTTAGGTCTTGTTAACTCCCTTTACTCTGTGGGAAGCTTAATTAACGCTTCTGCTAGGTGTAACTGACAAGAAGCTGTGAGATACCTCTGGTAACCTGTGCCAGGAAATGTGGGCCATAAAAGTCATTATTGACAGCATGTAGCTGTAACTTAAGTTCTATACAATGCTCTGTCAGTCACATAATCAATGTTATAGGTACCAACAACCCTGAACTTCTAAAAACAGACTGTAAAACTTAAAGAATGAGCAGAACCATTGTAGCCAAGAGCTAGGCTGTGCTTCCTGGATTCAAATTCAGAAATAAACTTCTTTCCACCAGTTCCCTGCCTCTCAAGTTATTGGTGTGGAGGGTTAGCAGCGAGGGGACCTGGAGGGAAGGGACCGGACTCACTGAGGGGTAGGATCTTTCTGAAAAGTTGGTTTTGACAGGAGGCTCCTAGCACAGACCGCCCCCTCTGCCCCTTCGTCCCAAATTAGGCAAGGGACCCCTCTCTTGCAAGGTGGTCCCGTGTAGCCTAAATACTAAAACCAGATCCCAACACAACCAAGCCCCTTTCTCATGCTTCTTTTCCGTCCCACCCAGCTTGGGTCCCCTAGGAACTGGGCTCTCTGTCCACTCCTGTCAGCCTTCACTGTGTTCCTGGTCACATGCTGTGATGTCCACTGCAGCCCGCACACCTTTCTCTCACCGCTGCAAGAATGCACCCATGCAGGACTCCTCCCCTCCCTTGCCCCCACTGCTTGGGGGCCAGGACGCCCGCAGGGCTGATCCTCAGGCCACGCCAGGCCGCGCCCGCATCCCGTGCTCGTGACTCTGTGCACAGGGAGGACGACACCAATCTGGGGGGGGGGGAGACGCTCTCTCCCGGACATCGGCCGTTCGCCCAGAGACGGAGCCCGTAGGGTATTGGCGACCAGATTCCTCCCCAAAGCCCTTGTACTGTGTCCCTGTACCAGCCCCCATTCCTGTGGGGTGACGTGGACCTTGCAGCGGCTCGAAACCAAGGTTATGTCCCCCGCGTCTTGGTTTCGTCCCCGCATCACGTGATCTCACGCCTGCCCAGGCGGAAGGAGCCACCACGGGTTCACTGCTTCGGCGTGTCCCGCAGGCCACCCCCTCCGCTAGTGCCTCTCGCTGAGTCTGTTCCCTTCCCTTCAGGTCCCCTCGCTGCGTTCCTTCCATTGCCGTCGAGATGATGTGCGGGGCGCCCACCAGCACACAGCCCGCCACGGACGAGATCCAGCATATTGCTGACCAGGTAGGGATGGGGTGAGCCTCCCTGAATCATGGGGGGACCGTGGAAGAGCCGGGACGTCCTGGCCTAACGCCTCCCGGGAGCCTGGGCTGGTCGAGGACGGAGAGGACAGGGAGCCGGGCGGTGCTCAGGGAGCCTGAACGCTGGGTGGGGTGGAAGCCGCCCCATCCCGGTCATGGGCGTCCGGGGCACCGCGGGGCCGGGGTTTGCGGAGCGTGGGGGTCTGGAGGAGGACGCATAGAACAACCGCTCCGGCTGGAGCAGGAGTGCCAGGTCCAAGGGCCTGTTGTGTCGGTCCTGAAGTTGGCACCCGGGCTGTGGTTGTGCAAGGCTGTCCCTCTACTCTAGAAAATACGCACCTAGGCATTTAGAAGGAAAGGGTCATAGCATGGAATGCTGTTAGTGAAGTTTCTTCTGACCCCTGTTAAAGACGGGAAGGCACACTTGATTCAGGACCGTCACCATGGGTGTAGTTTTGGAGGCTTGGGGGCTTTGCAGTTGGGAGAGAGATCAGGATCAACTCCAGATACAGGAAGGGCCAGGGGGGATTTGTGGCCAAGGAGCAGCATGGGGGTCAGTAGATGGAAAATTCCCAAGAGGAAGCTTCAGGGGAGAGGGGGACTCTTGCTGAAAACAGGCCAGTGTGAGCAGATGTCACCTGAGAACAGTGTAGGCTGTGGAGCCTGATCAGATCTGAGGCTGATCAGCATTGAGGACGGGAGGTTCTTGCTAAAGTGATAGAGGGTTTTTTGTTTCAACGGGATTTGACAAGGGATTGTGTGGGTGGGGTTAGGAGGAGTTTCTGGGGCCTGATCTGAGTTTGCCCAGAAAGAATCTTTGTCAAGTCTGGGTGTGGTACCTCACACCTTTGGTCCCAGTACTTTGGGAGGCCGAGGCAGGACTGGTTGAGCCCAGGAGTTTGGGGCTGCAGTGAGTTATGATCACACCACTGCACTCCAGCCTGGGCAAAAGAGCAAGATTCCCACAGGACCCTTCCTTAAAAAACAGACAAACAAACAAACAAAAAAACTAGCTGGGCTTGGTGGCTCACATCTGTAATCCCAGCACTTTGGGAGGTAGAAGCAAGGGGATTGACAGAGCCCACAGGTTCAAGACCAACCTGAGCAACATGGTGAGACCTCGTCTCTACAATAAATCAAAAAATTAGCCGGGCATGGTGGATGTGTCTGTAGTTCCAGCTACTTGGAAGGCTGAACCAGAAGGATTGCCTGAGCCTAGCAGGTGGAGGCTGCAGTGGCCATGAGCTTGCCACTGCCCTCCAACCTGGGTGGCAGAGTGAGACTCCGACTCAAAAAAAAAAAAAAGAAAAGAAAAACATATGGTCTTTGTCAATACTTACAATTACTTGTTAATACTTACAACTGGGTTGGGATGGGGTGAGGCTCCCTGAATCCTGGAAGGGTCCATGGAAGAGCTGGGACAGCCTACCCAAAAGCCTCCTGGAAGCCTGGGCTGGCCGAGAACGGGAAGGAGAGGGAGCTGGGCCAGGGTGACCCCCTTCTCTGAGCTCTGGGTAGAATGGAACAGCCCCCATTCCTGTGGGGTGATGTGGCCCCTGCAGCAGTCCACTTCAGTTTTTCTAGTTGAGGGAAAAAAATCTGAGAGAGAGTCAGAGAGCTCCCACATTATCAGGCTCATGGGGTATAAACCTCAGTGTATCTACATGAAGAGTACCCCAGAGTCCTTTCTGCTAGGCTTATTCAAGCACTATTTCAAACTTTACAGTTCAAGTTAAAACACACAAAAAAGTGAAAACACAAAAACCAAAATAAAATCTTGACTGGGTTGCAGAGGACAGCCCCTGGAATTGCCTGACCTCCCTGTGCTGTGTCCTCACCTGTCATATGGTGTCAGAAGGCACGGTAGCAGCACAGATGGTTCTGATGAAGGTTGGGCGACAGCACTGCACATATGAAGCCCTTAGTGTTGTGCATGAGTCAGGTCGTCACTATTTGTCAGCAGTTAGTTCTTTAAACACAAGGGAAGGTTCAGGACATACTAAGGCTCATGTTTTGAGTAGGAAAAGCAAGAATGAAACAGACTTCTTAATTTTCCTTCCTGCTGCTGCTTGCTAAACCAGGTGACATGTGGACAGCCCATGATGTCACCACTCAGGTGGTTTTGACCATCTGACCGCAGGAAAGGGCCATGAATCAGTACCATGAGACTTTTGAAAATGAGGAATTTGTTCCAAACACACATGCCTAGACCACTTGTGTGAGCCCTGCCTGGAAAAGGGGTTCCTTTTTCCACATAGCTGCTCGCAGAAGCCTAGCCCTTCCTTACCAGTTTCCCAACCTTGGGTCTAAGAAATCCCTCCTGTCACTGGGAACTTGGAATAATTTCTTGCTGCAGCCAGAAGAGTTGCTGTGTCAAAGTGACCTGTGAATGAGCAGCAGCCATTGCTACTGGAAGAGATTTTTTTTTTTTTTTTTGAGTTGGAATCTTACTCCATCTCCCAGGCTGGAGTGCAGTGGCACACTCATGGCCATCCCAGTGTCGACCTACTGGGCTCAGGTCATCCTACTACCTCAGTCTTCCAAGTAGCCCGAACTACCTGTGCGTGCTACCACACCTGGCTATTTTTAAAAAAAATTTATTGTAGAGATGAGGTCTGGCCGAGTTGCCCAAGCTAGTCTGGAACCTGTGGGCTCGGGCAATCCTCTCACCTCAGCCACCCAAAGTGCTGGCATTACTGGCTTGAGCCACTGTGCCTGGCCCTAGTAGAGATTTTAAGGGAGGAACTCACAGGGCCGTCCATGAGCTAGGTGATCTCTAAGGAAGTGAGGAGGGGGCATGGATACCTACTGGGCACCTTATAGACTTCTTGCAAGAGCACTCTGTGCTGAGTGTGCCTCCCCTGGGTACATGAGAGCAGAAACCAGAGACTGACCCAAAGGAGTCAAGTCTTCTGGTCCAGTGCATGGGGGAATGTGACCCAGTCCAGTCCCTGTGTCTGCCTACCCCTCCAACCTCTGCAGTCTGGTAACATGCAACTTTCTCACTAACCTTTGCCCATTCATCACTCCCTTGACAGTAGACCGGTCCACCTTGCTTCCTGAACATGGTGTGGGTGTGCTGCCCTCCAAGGCCTCTCTGTTCCCTCCTCCACAGTTCTGTTGGGCTCCTCACCATGCCTTCAAGCTTTCCTGCTTCTGAAACCAGGAGAGAAGAAGCAATTCCTCACTTCTTGGGCCTCAGTTAGTTTGTTGGTGTTACTTAGGCCAGTCATTACCTGGGGCGAGAGCTTGCACAGAGAAGAATGCTACAGCTTGGGCTTCAGCCACAGGCAGGCCCTGTCCCCAGTACAGCTTGAGCATAGCAGCATATGGGAACTGGCAGCGGGATGAGGCCTTCTCTCCATCCTCAGGCCTTCCAGCTTGGACTCCAATCCTCACCTCTCCATGTCTGTCTCCAGCAAGGGTCCCTCCCTGAAGGCACCAGGAGATGACAGAGCCTTAGGTCACATTGCCCCAGTGACACAGTTTATTTCTCAACTAGCATGCTTCCTGCCACTTTGGTTCTTTTTTTTTTTTTTTTAAACTAAATCCTTAATTCTCAGGACCAGCCTAGTCACTCTGGCACAAAGTCAGTACACTCCAGCGCCTCCCAGTTAACCTAGATAGCAGCCAGAGGACTTTAAACTACAGGAGATTAAATAATTCTTTTAAAAGACAATTGCTCTTTCCTTCAGGTGATCAGCGCCTAAAAGGCAGGGTTGAGTCACAAGCACATTCTGTTTGACATTAAGTTTAGAACCAACCGATGCCCTGCACTCTGCATCCTAAGAAATCATCTCAACATGCAGGTCATGTGTCATCACTGCTGCATTCTCTGTTACAGCAAAAGTCAGGAAAGACATAAGTGCCCAGAGCTGGGGAGGAGTTACTAGAACTAAAGCAGGTCCACGAAATGGAGGATTACAGTTAATCTGAGATTATATTTAACTTAAACTATTCTATCTAAACAGATGAGTTAAAACTGATATACAGTCTTTCAAATGAACTGTTGGCATGTTAAAAAGCAAAAAACAAACAAAAGTCCAATGTATGATCCTGGAGGCACCTCACCTGTGAGTATGTGATGCTAAAAATATAAAAATGTCCGATACCTAGAAAAAAGGGCAGATAACGTGCTGAAGGAGGATCATGTGAACTCTGGAAGAACAAATAGGGTGCCAGCTTTTTCCCTCTTTACTATTGGTGCTTGCAGCTTAAATGTCCCCTTGGTCGTAAGGTGTGGGGGTTCCTTCAGCAGGTGGAAGCCACTGATCATTCCATTATCTCTCCCCACCCCAGGTGAAGTCCCAGCTTGAAAAGAAGGAAAATAAGACGTTCCCTGTCTTTAAGGCGATGTCCTTCAAGAGCCAGTTGGTCGCGGGAACCAACTATTTCATCAAGGTGAAGTATGGGCACAAGGGGGCCTGACCCGGGTGGGTGTGGGTAGACAGCAGCTGGTGCAGGCCTAGCTGGAGTGGGCTCAGGTGCTGAGCAGAGGTTTCATGGGAGTCCTGTGGCTGGCCCCTAAGATGAGCATCACACTGTGTATGTACTTCACAGAAGGACTGAGGCTTTTGGGCAACTAAGAATGCTGATGGAACAGATGTGGGTCCGAGGGTACCTTCTGCACTTGAAGGATCTCAGGACAGCACCTGTTTCCCCATTCAGTGGAGAAGAAGACTTGGGATCAGAGGCTCCACTGACGCAATTTTCCCTTTGCAGGTTCACGTTGGTGGTGATGTTTACATTCACCTGAGAGTATTTCGAAGTCTGCCTCATGAAAACCAGGCCTTGACATTATCTGACTACCAGACCAACAAAGCCCAGCATGATGAGCTGAGCTATTTCTGATTCCTATTTTGAATAAGGCCTTTCCTTCATCCTTGACTGATACTTTGAGGATCCTTTGTCCTCCCTGGACACGCATGTGGGTCGTCACATGAACTTTCTGCTGCACTGCTCAGGATGAAGGGGCAGGACTCAACGGCTTCTCTCACACCTTTCTTCTTCAATTTCCTGCACTGTTTTTTTTTTTTTCCGAGTCAATTTTCTTAATGCCACGATTTCCCAGAGTGCTGTATTTTCTCTTTAAATATATACATCGTTAAGTCTGTACATGTTGCCTCCTTTGTTTTGGGTTTTTTTTCTTCATCAGAAACCAAAGTCACAACACAGATGTGCCCAGAAGGTAAGAGTGGCTCCACTGAGAGTATCCATCACATTCTTTCCAGCCGGCATGACTCAGCTCGTGGAGCCCCTGGTGCTCGTATAGAAGGCATCTTGGGAAGAGCATATCTATTTAAAAAATTTCTTCTGGGCTGGGCACTCTGGCTCATGACTGTAATCTCTTCTCTTGGGGAGGCTGAGACAGGGGTATCACTTGGGCCCAGGAGTTTGATGCTGCAGCAAGCCATGATTATACCACTGCATTCCAGGTTGGGGATAGAGCAAGACCCTGTTTAAAAAAAAAATGCTTTCTGGTTTTCAAAAGAAGTTACTTCCCCTACAGTAGACTCTGTCAAGTGGTTTCCCACCTGTGATTGTGTTAAACAGGACAGAGAGTGGTCCACACACTCCAAGAGCGCAGACTGCTGGTGATTTTTCTGTGCTCAAGGTTGTGATGTGGAATGTCTTCCTGAGGGTCTCCTGAATTGCACTTGGCTTCTGACGTGGTGGCCAGGTCCGCAGCTGCAGGATTCAGGTTGTCTTGAGGGTGAGGGCCATGAGAATCATGAGGGGCCTAATAGGCACTCCACAGCTCCGCAAGTGGCAAGAGAATACTCTGAGTAATGAGCTTACGTGGTCTTTTCTCTTTACATGAACTCTAAGCATAAACTTGGATAATGTGCAAACCAGAATCAAGCAATTGGGCACTCAAGGAAGAATTGATGTATTTCCCAAGTGGAAACTTCCAGTGGGGGAGATGTGGATTTAGGTCCTATGAAGAGGCAAGAACCCATCTTCAACAGGAAGGGAGCAGGAGTCCCATGCGGCCCTGAGTGGGAGAAGCTGAATTTAGGGTCAGAAACACATCGGAAGCAGGAAATACCAGTGTCATCATAAACAGGAAATGAAAGACATACCTGATGCTGCAGTCTGAATTAAATATATAAGTTGATGAAGGGATACATTATTCTGATGATGTCTCTTTCATCCATGAACATGCTTCCTTCCAAAGCATCAGAAGCAGTAGCTGGAAACCTGACATTTCAGGTTTTTTGGGACAAAAATCACCTGTTACTATACATGGAGCTGGTTGCTGTTTTAACTCCTGCCCTCTGAGAAGGGGTTGGGATCTTAAGTGGAGGTGAAGTCAGCCTGGACCCTCCTGATACAGCCCAGGGGTGACAGCTCATGGACAGGCAACTGCACCAAGTGCTCTAAGGCAGACATGCTCCCAGGAGTGGTAACAGGTACTAAGGGATGGGCACAGAAGGCTCCTGGGAGGAGACCTGGGGCTTGAGGAGGAGGAGGTAGCTAGAGGCCAAGGGGGGTAGGAGTGAGACTGTCCAGTCAGTGGCAGAAGGGAGAAAGACTCACAGGTCTGGCAAGAGCAGTGCCTTCAGGGAGGACAGCTGGGGGAGCCTTGTTGCCAGGGCACTGAGGTGGCTGTCCTGGAGCCATCTGTCCTGGAAGGGAGCCCAAGTCTAGGACCGGGTGCCCAGCAGTCTGGAGGTCAGAACAGCTGTGATCCTGACTGAAGTCAGTGGATCCCAGGGCCCGGTGGTTCCGGTCCTCTCCCAGCCTGTGCACAGATAACAGGCTGCTGACATACTAACAAGAAAGTCAGAGCCTGACCCTGCGTTGGTGACAGTATGGAGGTCTCACTCTTGGTTCTTACAAGCCTGTTTCCCCTAAATTGTCCACCTCAGCAATGCTAAAAAATGGCACCAGGTGCCAGGGCAGAGTCCCACCCCCAGGATAGCTCCCACCCCAGCCTGCAGTTGCTGGGCATCTGGGGACCCAGCCAAGTCCCACGTAGGAAGGACAGATGGAGGGGTTGATGTGCAATGCCCAGAATGTTCAAGAGCCAAGGGAACCTGACCTGAGCTGACCATTTGTAAGGCGAGCCCCATCTTGAAAGTGACTGTTTCCCTACACTGTAGCAGCCGCTTCATGGACGTCCCCCCCTGCCCCTCCCGCCCCCCAGATTGCTCCTGTGAAGTCCATCTGCATCCAGGCTGGGCTGATGCAAACACCCTGAGCAGATATTAGTCAGGGGACCCACCTGCCCAAGAATCCTAGAAACCTCATTCTCTAGCTCCTGAGGCTAACACAGCCCCTGGGCTGATAGGCAGGCACTGGTCCCCAGTCCTCTACCTCTGGCTCTCAGCCACCTTAAGCAGACTTACTATCCTCTAGTTAGAGTCCTTGGCACACGTCACTTTTTCCAAAGCCTGAAGGTTTTTCTCAGAACTGTGGTCCCATTCTGGCTGGACAGGGTAACCCTGCTCTTTGCTGAAGTTCTGTGTATACAGAAGGGGGCCTGAAGGGCAGCCAGGTGAGGCTAATGTTGTCCTTATAGCCCAGAGGGGGACCTGGGGGCAGCCAGGCAAGGCTGACAGTGTCCTTCCAGTCCAGAGGGGGACCTGGGGGCAGTCAGGCAAGTCTGATGGTATCCTTCCAACCCAAAAGGAGACCTGGTGGAAGCTAGGCTAGACTGATGGTGTCCTTCCAGCACAGAACAGCTGGGAGATGCTGTCACACCTTTGCACACTCCCTGCTCTAACTGCTACCAGAAAAGGTACTGTTATAAAGCAGGGCCACCTCATCCAAGTGAGATTAGATTCACATTAGACTAGAAATAGAATAACATTTAATTAGAGGCAAATTGTACAAGACAAAATTATAGACTGGGGAATCTCATGGTTCCATTACCAGGCAGAGAATCTAGGAAGTCCTGATTGAGCTGCCTGGAGGCAGTGTAGTTCCTGTTCCCAGGGGCACAGCTCTAGCATCTCTGGGTCCTCCAGCTACCAATGGCACAGCCCAGGCACTGGTTGGGCAAAGCCATGAGGAGCCGACTGAACTCATGACCACCCAGCTCTCAGGTCCTCCCTCCCTCCCTCCCTCCCTCTGCTTCCCTTCCTTCCCACATCTGAGTGTCCTTGTGTCAGGTACCTTGCTGGTCTGAGGAGAGCATGCAGAATGAGACAGATGGGCTCCAACATCACAGCTGGCCAGAGACAGACCCTTCCCTGCCCAGATCCATTCTCTCTGCCTCCCAGAAGGGTGGGGAAAACTACACAGTTGGACCAGATTGGAAAAAAAATAACTTCTCAGTCTACTTTGCAGCTGGTGTGTTGGTGCAGGGAGGACTCATGCCCTATCTTGGCCAACAACCTGTCAGCTCTGGGTGGGCCCAGGGATCTGCTCTGAATAAGGCTCCATGGGGGGTTATGACGTGGTTAGGGTGGGAACACATGGGTGAGCCATGGGAATCCACAGAGGACTCAGAGTAGTGAAGTGAGGTCAAGCCTATGCTATAGACACATGGTGGCAGTGGTGGGCAGACCAGGAGCAGGGAGGTAGGAGGGAGCCATGGCTATATCTCAAAAGATTTGGACCACTGGCAAGTCCAACCAGTGCAGCCTCATTATACCTGAATACCTTTGCAAAACCTTATTTCCAAATAAACTCCCATATTGAATTCAAGGCAAACATGAATTTTTGCAGGACATCACTGAATTTTGGGGGACGCCTGTCCCAGCCTAATTTAGTGTCCTTCTCTACTGTACAACCCTTTGTAACCAGAGCCTGAATTCTACACTTTGAATGGGTGAGTTAGTATGGAATGTGAGTCATATTTCAATAAGGCTGTTACCAAAAGAATAAAAGAAATACCAAGAGTCTGCCCCCACTTTCCCTCTCCCACCTGCCAGGCAATGTGTGGACTATGCCACTGGGAAAGCAGAGCAAAGAGATAGTAGGGGCTTGGGCTAGCCCTGTGGAAAGGAAGGCTGTTCCTGGGCCAGCCTGAGTCAGGTCTTGTAGGGCATTTCCTTACCACGGTGAGTTAGGCTGAATTCCAGAAGGGGCGAGGTAGTGTGGTGTGATCCCAGCAGCTTTTGGAAAGTTCAGCTCACCTGACACTGGTCAGGCTCTGACCACCCCACCCTTTGCAGACTGTGTTGAAAAGGGTCTTGAACGAGGTCCTGATGTTGGAGGGAAGAGGTGACAGGTTAGACCCTGTCAGCTATGTCACCTGAGATATCCCTGCCAGGCCCAGCAGCCCACTGGGTGCTTCCTCTCCCTTCCCCACCCTTTTTCCTCTTCTGTCCTCACTCCACAGCTGGGATCTGCACCTTTACCCTCTATGTCACTTTAACTGGGAGCTGTGGCCCAGGCCCTCTTTCCTAAAAACACAGATTTGAAACCCCTAAGCCAGTGGGGACTCAAGAGAGGGCACACTTGGGTCAATGTGGGCAGAGAACAAGTATAGGATGAGAGGGAACCTGGGCCCTGTGGGCAGGGACAGGGTATGCTCTTCCTTCAAGAGAGAGAGTTGCTTGGGTGTGGTGGCACCCACCTGTAGTCCCAGGTAAGGTGGGAGGATCACTTGAGACCAGGACTTTGAGGTTACAGTGAGCTACAATCACGAAACTGCACCACAGTCTGGGCAAAAGATCAAGACCCTGACTCAAAAAAAAAAAGGGTGTAAACAGAGTACGTGAGGAAAGCACATGTTGCAGTGAGAGAAAGGAGTTGAAACACCAGCTTCAACACGGGAAGGACTCACAGCAGGGAGATGATCACCTCACTTGGAGCAGAGGGTGGGAGCTGGGGTGGGTGGGGGGGCAGTAGGATATGACCACTGTCTCACTTTAATGTCTCTCTGGGCCTGATAATTTAAAAGGGGTCATATCCCTCAGATAAGAAGCCTGTATATATTTTTCTCTCTCAGACTCTAGGTGGGAAGACAGGGTATTTGGTCTTCTTCATCTGCCTTCAGAAAAATGAAAAATTTTGGTATCAAAATATGGGAGGTCATAGCATTTTCTAGGGCTTTGAATAGAGAATGTAATACAAATGACAGGTAAGATTTATGTTAGTATAACAAACACACAGTTATAGCAATGATTTTAACAGTTCACCTTAGAGCTTAGACACTGTCC